TAGGGTACAATCGGGCCGGGCAGGTGGAGTAAACGAGGTCGTAGACGAGTATGGGAGGCGAAGGGCGTTCAGCCCGTTACAGGCATCTCTGATGTCCTGGCGCCCGCAGAGGACCTGGCATCTTAAGATGTTTGATCTTGGCGAGATGCCAATCACGTGATCAACGCCCCGCGGTGATCATTACCTTCTGACGTAGTCGTCGGTTGGTCCTCGACCTCGACTCCTACGTCAAGGAGAGAATCCTTCTTGTTACTTGTAACAACGACTTAATTTTTGTAAGTTAAAGTATCTTTTACTTATTTCAAACTTTTTACTACTTTTTTTTAAGTTTTTATAGTTTTACTATAAAAATAAATAGCAATTTTTTCTTTATTAGCTTAGTTTAACTTAGATTAATTTATCTTAGTTTAACCTTTATTAAGTTAATAAGCTTTATAGTAAATTAAAATAAAGTTACTTAAGCTCATTTTTATTAAAAAGGCCTAATTAGTTTAAAAGCTTTTTTTATTTTTTGGTAAGGCTATCTTTATTTAGCTTTAAGTAAAGTAGCTAGTACTACTACTTATTGTACTAGCTCTTCTTTTTATAAAGTATTTTAAAAAAAGAATTCAAATATTAGTACTAACGTGGTTCATAAGCGAGCGGACACCCCAAGCGAGCGGACACCTCCCCACCAGCGCGTCAACTTCAACACGTTATCACAGCCTTTTATCACAGTCAATAAACTATTGCAATATACTAAATTAATAATCAAAATCGCTACTATCACTTGCACTATCTATCTCAACTGCGCAGGTACGAGCGTTGTGTCCAGTCTGCTTGCAACGCCCGCACCGCCGCTCTCCTCGCACCCTCTTCGACGCACTCTCACCATCACCACGACTGCTACCCGCCTGTTCAGCTAATACTTCTTGTACTTCGCCTATAGTAAGAGTCTCTTCTGTCCGTACGTATCGCCGCTTGCGGCTTTTACGCTTATTTAACTCGTCAAGAGCCGCTTAAAGCGTACCCATTTCCTCCATCATAAGCGTCATTTTATGTGCTATTTGCTAGGCCCCCTTACTTAGCTGCGCGATCTGCTTAGTAAGTGAATTGGCAGAAGATCTACGGCGTTTTCTCACGCTCTCTTGAATAAGACTAATTTGAGACTCAACTTCGCGCGCGTTGCGTGGTGTCTGCGCCTGCCAGGCAGCTACCCGTCGTGGTGATTGACGAGGTGTCTGCACCACTACATCAAGCTTAGATAGCACAGCCTGTAGGTCGTGTGGGACTAGACTAGCACCTCTAAAGCCAGCTTGGATATTCTCCTTCGTGATAGACTGCTCAAAAGCAGCCTTAAAGGCTGGTAGGAAGGTTTCCTTGCTAATATAGTAGGTGCGGTTGCGTGCCAAGCCTGAAACAGCGTCGCCATACTTGCGCTTCAACGGCGAGAAGCAGGCGACGTCAAGGGGCTGTAACAGGTGAGACGAGTGTGGAGGCATGCAGAGAAGAATAATATTCTTCTCCTTGCAAAGATCTTGAAATTCGATGGAGCAGTGGCTCTCATGGCCGTCGATAATAAGCAGTCGATACCCACCTACAGTAGAGCTCTTTGTATGGGTATCAAAGTGCTCTAACCAGGCAAGACTAAGCTGATTATTCGTCCAGCTATTAGGACTGACTTCAAGAACCTAGTTAGCAGGCAAATCCTTAAACTAGACGTTAATAAGCACCTTGCCCGCAAAGACAACGAAGGGTGGTATCTAGCGACCTAATGCGCCTACGCCTTAGATCATAGTAACCCACTCGCGGTTGCCTAGCTGTATCCGCTTTTTTTTCCTATATCCTTCTAAGCTTGTGATTAATAACTATAATAAAATCTTGCCTATCATAAAGCCAGTTTCGTCAAAGTTGTAGATATCGTCGTCCACAATACCCCACTTCTGCCTTGTCGCCTGGACTAAGTCAAACCAGCGCTGGATAGCCACTGGGTCCTCGCAGGCGGCTCGCTGGTAATCATAGGGACGGCTCCAGCGCGTACGGAGCTCAGCAGTCCGCCTAACAAAGTTGTCAACCCAGTTCTTGCCAACAGGGTTGCCACCACGCTCCTCTAACAGTTTATCGGCCATTGCTCGAACCTCAGCCTTTGTAGGCGCAAATCCTCGCGCAGACTCTTCAAGAATACGCCTAACAATAGCCTCCTCTTCTAGCTTATTCAAGCGCTTTAAATTTGGTTCGCAGTCGCGTCGAGAGTGTCTTCCAGCGCGTTGGTAAAATAAAGTTATTCGAGGGACGCTATAGATCTCAGCAGCACGTTTAACACTCTTTACACGTTAGGAATTAATATTAGAAATAGCAAGTTAGATATCAGCTTCAGAAAAAGTTTGTTGAATCTGATGTGGTTAAGACATAACGCGTTGTAGTATGAACGTCGACGCGCTGGTGGGGAGGTGTCCGCTCGCTTGGGGTGTCCGCTCGCTTATGAACCACGTTACTAATAACTTTAATATAGAACAAAAAAGTAAGAACTGAATAGTAGTAGTAGGCAGTATTATATTTTAAAATAAATTCTTAGCTTTTTTTTTATATAAGCTTAAGGCTTATATACTATAAGCTAGCTAAGGGGCTCTTAACTAAGCCTCCTCTTATGGCTAGGAACGTAGTTCCTAACAGCTATAGAAGCTATAAAATATTAATATATATAAGCTCCGCAGGACCCTAAATAACTTAGCAAAATTCAAAAAGCAGCTAAAGCTGCACCCCTTTTCAGCTCTATTACAGGCTGTAGGAATGTTTATAGAAGTGTTAGAGGGGAAGCTATATCGCATTGTAACCGCAAGATCAAATTTCACGTGAATTATAAAGTCATTGTGGTGTTAGGAACTAGAGAAACCGATACAAGTGTGAGTTATTTGTAGGCTCAAGTCTATAATATTCCTTGGTAGCATTTGCCATCAGACGAGAATGAAAAGGCGCCCCGAAAATTCGACTGGTAAGATCAAGACAACAAGAGAATCTACTCAAACGGGTGTGAAACCGGACATAATTTAAGCACTGAAAGTGACGTCCATAGGCCTAATACAACAAGCGACTTAGCATGGAAACTAAATTCCAGAGCAGTGTATGTCTACGCCTACATTTTCTCTATGAAACGAGAACTCTTGTAGAACTATGCAGAGTAGAGTTAAGCGTGTAAATAATCAAATTAGAGATCAAGATTGGGTACAATAGTGAGGAGAGGGGTGTAGGGAAAAGTAAGTTTTACTATACGTAAAGAAAAGCACCTAGCGCTCGGGCTGTATAGCAAAGTGGGAACGTTTGTGGATGCAGGGATTCATGCCTAGACGCCTTATATGATCCGCGGGGAGATGACTAACATTACAGGGCAGACAAGGAAAAGAATGCCATCGCACCTAATTATCCCAGTTTGTTCGACTTGTTTGGCAGCTCCAGGCCCTAAGCAAACAGATGCCTCGTACAACTAATGTGGCAAGACAATTTGTGAGCCTTGTGGGCTGGAGAAGCTTATCGAGTTCAGACAGTTGTCGGTAAGTTCTGCAAGAATACCCGCTACCCTTTGCATATGAGATTACTTCGAATACTCATCCGGTGTGGTACTCATACAGCTTGCCAAGCCTCTGCTGCTTCAGGACCTGCTACATAAACTTTAATCAAGTAAAGGCCGTGGCCAAAACCATGAACACATTCTCGTCAACTGGACATCGGTATTTACCTTACTTTCTGTCATTAAATGACTAAGAAATTTGCCGCTACCAGTTTGCCCGGTAGTAATAGATTCGTATTGCGTTTCGATATGAGAAAACGATTTTTCGCTATGTCTTCTAGATAGGAGCATTTCGTAATACGCGCCGGGTGATATGGTAGCACTCAGATAAAGATGCAAATCAGAATTCATGGCAGGTAACAGATAGTACGATAGCTTGTCTAACTGGGAGAAACACCACGCGTCGGCGACGGGTGAGGGGAGAAGATTCAAAGCATGAAAAGTACCGTAGCAGATCTGTGACTGATACCCATGTTAAGCAAAACAGCCATCTAGGCTATTAACTCATTCAGACCAGAGCATCTCGCATACCATGATTCCCACACCCTAAAACACATGCCAACACCATAAGAAAGCCCTTAAATTTTAGTCTCAGAGTTCTCCACCCTTTCAGGGCTATGTTCCAACCCAATCTTCTTCTCTGCATCAACGTGACCACGCTCCACATTTCTCGTAGAGTTGTACTCGACCCCAGTTTTGTATGCAGGGATACCTCTCATGAACATTTCTTCGACATCCTCGAGTGTCTTGCCAGCCGTCTCAGGAAAACACAAGAAACTATGGAGTGCCATGGCAGCGCAGAAGCAGCCGAAAATGATGTAGACCTTCCATTTGATGTTGACAAAGGCGGGAGGAACAAAGTACGAGAGGGCAAAGTTGAAGATCCAGTTTGCGGATGTGGAGACGGCGACAGCTTTGCCGCGGATGCGGAGAGGGAAGATCTCGGGTGGGTAGACCCACGAGGCTGGACCCCAGGATGGTGCGTAAGATGCCACGAAGAGATATGTGCAGGCAATCACCGCCTTGGCAGGGGCACCCGTGATTTCCCAGGATTGCTCGGCAATATTATCAAGACCGCCGGGCGGTGCGGGTTTCCCGTAGGAAGCCATGAGACCGGCGTTGGCGAACATCCAGGTCATCATGAAAATGGCGCCAATGACAAACATGGGGCGGCGACCCCAGCGGTCCATGAGAGGAGGGCGGGAACTGTCATGGCCACGTTGATGACGTATTGGATGGAACTGGCGATGAGGTTGATATTTCCGGTTAGACCAGCCATCCCGAAAATAAAAGTAATATAGTACATCATGACATTCATCCCTGTCAGCTGTGAGTAAACTTGGATAGCGACGCCAATGTGGAGACGGTTGATCATGTTGGGCTTAAAGAGTTCCATGAAAGATACATCAGCATTCTGGCGCTCAAACTCAATAGCTTGGCGAATTTCATCCATCTCAAGTTTGACAAAAGGGCTGTTGGGGTCGCCCTTGCCATGGACCAGTGTGAGAACGGCTTGTGTTTCTTCCCAGCGGTCGTGACGGGCGAGCCAGCGTGGTGATTCAGGAAGGAATACGAGACCGGCTGCAAGAATGACGGCGGGAATCATCTGAAGACCCCATGGGACACGGAAGGCCTTGGGACCGTCCAGGAAGCTGCAACCGTAGGAAATGTAGTAGAAGAGTAATATACCAATCGTAATCGAGAACTGAAAAGCATTGTCAGGGGAAATCCTACATGTAGTGTCGTGGGGTCAAGGGCTTACCTGTTGGCTTCCAACTACACGACCGCGGCGAGTCGGGGGTGCTAGCTCAGAGACGTAGACAGGAACTTGAGCAGAGCAGATACCGACAGAGAGACCATTGATGAATCGACCGACGATGAGCATGCCGATGTTTTGTGACGCGCACGAGATGATAGACCCAATAATCCAAACAGCGCAACCAACCTGGATCGCACCTCGACGACCCAGCTTTTCAGTGAGGTAGCCTGAAATAAGAGCACCAACGAAAGAACCGCCAGGCATGCTATATATTTTTAGAAAACAATACAAAGGCTGTTGGCTTGGAGACTTACGCAGCGGTGATACCACCTTGGACATCGGCCTTGGGGCCAGAGCATGCCTCGTCAGGGCCAGTGAAGGGCGGGCCAGATGGGCCTTGGTTGAAGTAACAGCGGTATTGCTGGGTTGGTAGGCTGCGGCCGTCAGTACCCGAGTTTCTGGTCAGAGAATACTGTGAACTTACATGGCGCTCATGGAACTGATGTCGAAACCAAACAGGCCACCGCCAATGACGGCGATGGCGGTGATGCCGTAGATGTTGCCAATCTGATACATGGTGCCTGTATGGTATCGTGACCGTTAGCTCTGGCAAGGATGTGTTCAAGGGCCCCGAGGGATGTACAGGCGTGGTTGACAGACAATAGGCAGGCGGGGGACACACGGGTACCCTTATATGTCTTGCTACCCATAGAAGGGGACATGAGGCGGGCAGCTCAAGCCATGGGAGTAATGTGGGCGCCCCGCAACGGACGTTTGGCTGTCTCAGGAAATGGTGGTATTAGTTAGGGTGTCGGGAGACAGGCTGATGGACGCTGTTGTGCTACTCAGGTTGGTATAGCGTCCGGCCAAGCAGAGAAGGATTGGGCCAAGGGTAGCGTGGATCTAGCGACGGAGCGAAGAACGGTCAAGCTTGATACATTCGGGGCGATTTAGTGCTTGTCTTGCGAATCACGACTGGGGTAGACGATTGCTGCCGAGATGGCGGCGATGGGTTGGCAGCAGGGTCAAGTACAGCCGGCTACAGCGCGACCAAGACGTAGCTCCGATTACCATGCCCAGCTGTAAAGTCCACAAGTTAGTCGTACCACAGGATTGCTGTGGTGTTGATGACCGTTGCATGTAGCATTGGCTCTGGATGTCAACGTTGCAACGCTCCGCACTCCGCAAAGTCGCACTCCATGTCTCCGGACTCCAGACTCCCGCAATTCTGGCACGGATCCCCAGGACAGCCCCGCCAGGCACCCCCATCAGGTATCCCCGTTGGGACACGATACATATTTTTTTTTCTCGCGCTGTGGGCCAGGTTGCAATTGCCGCTGTGGTGAGGTTTCCACCGGTGACGTTAGGCATGGGGTTTAGGAAGAGCATGCAGCCACTCAGCTATGCTTGGCCCGCTTTTTTCAATGGAACCAACGTTGCAGCCGGCTTCAACGTTGCTACGCCTGTCTCTTGCTCTTCATCTTAAGCTTTGTGCCGAATCCCGCTCAAGTTTGTCGGCGCTGCTTGACAGGCTTCATCGGGCTTCAAGTCTTGTGCTACGCTGGCCATGATGGCTTGGCATGCCTGGCTGCAGTCGCTGGCCTCGCTCGTCGTATTCCCATTATTTGCGCCAGGCGACATTCCCGCTACATTAAGGCTATATCCTTCATCAAGCGTGGGCACGGCCATGGGGCCGGGTACCGTCTCTGACTGTGGGTTTGCGTCGCAGCTTGCATGTCCCTATCGGTGCAGTGCCCCAAGGAGACGATACAGGAACATAGACATGCGACGCTACCGACTGGCTCCAGGCCCAAGTGGAGTCTGCCATACACACAGTGACCGAGGAGAGCGCAGACGTGGAGAACAAGTTAGAATGCTTCTACTCCGCATGCATCCCTCGCGGTGGTACCATTGCACGTCGTGGTGTGGTGCTCAGCTTTCCCGCTATTGTCTGGCTGGTCTTTGTTTGTCTGATGCCCATGCAGAGACCCTTCACGTCCCTGTCCCTGTCCCTGTCCCTGTCCATGAGGCGTAATCAAGCATAGCGGGTGTGCTGCCAGAGTCGGTCCCTGTGCTGTCGATCAATGCTTGCCAGGTACGTAGCACGTGCATGTGCCGAGCCTTAGCCAGTCCCCGAATCCCGAGCCTCGCGAGCTGTGGTTTCCTAGACGCTGTCAACTTTGAGTGATAATGCGGGTTTGCTGCATGTTTAGTAAAGAGAATCCATGATTAATACCACTTCTACGGTTATGTATGCGCAGCTGTCCATGCGGTGCGTACAATGGTCTATACACACAATCCATGCCCGCAGGCCAGGCTGTAATCCACAAGGCTTAGCCCCAGACAAGCTTCTTCAGCGAGTACTCAAACTGTTCCAAGTATCCGGTACTCTTCTTTGCATCTGCAAGGCTGATGATGTCCTTCTCTTCAATCTCCACTTTTCGACTTTCTTCACCTCCGTCCCTTGGCAAGCGGTTGGCGACCCGCGCAATCTCATCACACACCGACTTGACCACCTCTCCCTCATCATCGGCTGTATCGCTGGGGGATGAAGGAACACTGCTTTGCGGCGCCAAGGCCTTGAACGCTAGGAACCGACCCGCGGCATCCTGCTTCTCGGCCTGCTTGTTGTCGTCTTTGGCCTCTTCATTGTTGCCATTGTCGGAGCCGAGCGATCTTGTGTTTCGGCGCACCAGCTTCCTACGGCTGTCGGCTCGATACCGAATAATGAGGCCAACGTTCTTATCTGTATCCGTATGTCGGTGTGCTAGGGTTGACGTAATATAAACACCGCGCATGAGGCCCTGAACATTCTCAAGTGGTATGCGTTCAAACTCCCGCACCTTTTCAGTACCCCAGTCCAGACGGCAAAAGTACAAGGCCTTCTCCGTCAGCAGCAGGATCGCTTCCTCGAAGGTGGCTGTTTTGACTTGGTTTGCTGCAGTGGGCACACTCAGAGTCCACCCCTGCACTAGATCCTCGTCCTGGTCCTCGATGACGATTCCTGCCGAGCGCTCAATCGCCTGCTGTCGTACTTTGCGCACATCAACAAAATGATCCGAGCTCTTCATGTCCGCTTCAAACTCTGAAAAAATGCTGTCGGTTGCGCGGCCCAAAAGGTAGTCAATGACTGCTTGGGCGAAGTAGTCATTCACAATGTTGTTGTAGTAACGAGTCAATGTCAGTCCGAAATCTGTTAGGGCACCGGTAATTTGACGTTTGCGCGTTCGTGTGAAGTCTCCCTTGAGCGCAGCGGTGCCCGCATATTGGCGAGAGATGGCATCGCCGTTGTCTGCCCATAGCGTGTTGAACCACGAGGTGCTGGGGTCGTTCTGCAGATCAATGTGGTAGCTGCCCATGGATAACTGCGCCTCAAGAGCAGTCCCGGCGCAAGCTGACTGCACAACGTTGGTGCGGTCCAAACAATCCATGCAGTTGGTGCGCAAAACACCACTCTGCTTTCGCTGAATTTGGTCCTCAGCAATCTCAACCCAACCCGACGACTTCATAAACGGCTCAATAGAGTCCATCAACTTGGAGACATTTTCAAAGCGCATACCGCGGCACACATTGTGGAAGTCGAACCACTCGAATCCTAGCTGTCTGCCTTTGCCGTCGATGCCTCCATTCTCATTGAGCGCCTTTGCATGTTGTTCGTAGAGTTGACCAATCTTCGCCTCGGTACCGTGTTTGTCTATCAGCGAATCACAGTATATGTCTCCATACCGTGCTGATAGATCAAGAAAGTGTCGCTTGAAGGCGAGGGCATTCGTCTCAAATGAGCCCCAAGTGGTCACTTGGGGCTTGAGACTGTACGGTGATTGGGAGAAGAATAGTGGTATAGATCCGCGGATCTGAGTGAAGGAAAATATCTTGTCATGCGTCGTATCAAAAGTCGGATTAGAAAGTATCTGCTCAGTCTCAACACTGTTGGCCGTACAGCCCTCGTCGTCTGTGCCACGTCGTAGATAACGCAGACCCGCCCGCTTGGTTGATCGTCGCGAAATGAGGGTCAGCAAGAAGTCTTTGCCCTCTACTAGAGTATCTTGAGGTGCAGATGGCTCAGTGTTTTCACTCGCTGGAGCTACTGAATCCTGCTTTTGTTTCTCCTGCCATGGTTGTAATTGTATGTCATCTGGAGTTGCGCTCGGATCAACCACTAAGCTGTTGGATTGACTATCCGCAGTCTTGATTGTAAAAGCTCTTTGGCCGACAAATCCCTGAATTACAGGAAGGACAAAGGAGTGTTGGCCAGCCTCTATGAATGGAGACACAATATGCTGGTTCCAGAAAAACTGCAGGGAGGTCAACCACCATGCAACACATACAAGAGAGATTCACTTTACCAGAGGATCGAATTGCTTGAAGAGCGGCACGCTGGAACTTGGCTGTTCCTGGCCAATTCCATGCGATAGTTCATAGTCGTAGGAAAAGAAAAAGTTGCCCGAAGCAAAGTACATTTTCGTCGTCTGCAAGATCTTTGGCAACAACGCTACTGTTGCCGCGTCCTTGTCACCGCTTAGTGCTTTGGGTATGGCTGTGGGGCTGACTACTTTGGGCGCATTGTCGTCGTCTGTTGGGATTGCATCTGGCTTGGATTCACCTTCGGTTTGTTCGTGCTCCTTGGGCGCCGCTGAATCGCCGTCCTGTCGTGCATACTTGGCAGCCAGATTCTCCTCGGAGCTGAGCCCCTGCACACGTCTATTGTCTGCGCTCCATCCTTTGCGAGAGAACCACTTATCAGCGAACCTGCCGTACACACCTTTCCGTTGTATGACGTCTTCAGCAACGCTTGTCTTGGGCTGAGGACTGCTCTTCCGCCCGGTGATGGGATCCGTGACTATATTTGAAGCGGGCGATGCATCTTCTACGACCGAGTCGGTCGCACTGGGCGCATCGTCTTCACCGTCGCTATCAGAGTCTCGGTCTTGGAGCCCGGGGGATCCGTTGCGACGCCTCAGATGGTCGCGGGTGGCGGCGATGGCCTTGTCGGCATCGGCTTGCGAGGACAGCGGAATGAGGGCGACATCGGTGATTCTATAGACGGGCCTCCCGCGTATCTGCGCGACCTGTTCACGATCCGAGATGGAGATGAGGAAGTGGGATGTTGCGACTTGAAGAAGCCCTAACCGGCTTGTCAACGACGTGTGAGGGGAACAATGCGCCGGCGGATGCGCGCGTACCAATTATGCCATGTGCCTCGACAGATTCGGACGTGGTATCTTCCTCGCGCCGGTCCTTTAGTAATGGTCCGACATTGCCCTGGTAATCGATCTTGATGGCCTGCTGTGTGGCGGGCGGATGGTTGCGGGGCGGGGCAGGTTGCAGGATCAGCCCGTCGACGGCTGCAAAGACAAGCAGCTTTCGAACGAGGGAGGGCATCTCATCGGCAGCAGTAGGCGCGTCAATGGGGCAAGGGCCTGAGGTGATGCGACATGGGGTGAGGCAAACGCGTGCGCACACATTTGGTCGGCGGAAGCAAGTGAGTATGACGTCGTGTCGCACAGCGCTAGCACTAGCCGTTAACTAGCCCCACCACAAAGTGCGCGCGACCACAAAGTGCGCGCGCGGCCTCACCAAAACTACCTTAAAAACGAGGCTATAGAGCCACACCAAATAGATATTATCACGATATATTTTGGTGGTGAGATCAATAGGCTTTAATATATATATACAGCTATAGAAATCGAGACGGAGTTCTAATCGCGCGGCCGCGACGCGAGGTTGGAGGTGGTGAGCTTGCAGCACCTCCCTGAGGCTCCTCACCACCTTGAGGCCTCGCGATAGGCTTCTTTTTTTGAGTAGCCTTTGCAGGAGCCATGAAGCTCCTTCTCCTACCCCTTTGAGAAGTTTTAATAGCTTTTTGAAGTTGTTTTGCAGTCCTTGCGAGCCGCGATCCTTGAGGCCTTTCATAGCCTTCTCCTCC